ATCCAACCTCCGCATAATTGTGTTAGGATTTTGGTCGTGCTAATCATTTATGCAACGCAACTTTTTAAGTTTATAGTTGTTATAAATTAGACTTGTAGAGCACTTGGTGTGAACTGTGACCTTGGAAAGACGCGTTCATCGAGTTTGTTCCAAATGTCATTAGTTCCATAGCTGTGACCTTGGAGAAAGATTCTGAAAAACTGAAACCGAGAAGCAGCAAAGCACTTGGATATGAACGATGAACAATGCTTAACATTTTGTAGTGGAACAGACATAGAAATGATTAATTATTCGATCAAATTTATACTAGCTCTTGTTGTCACAGTGAAATGTGATCGGAGGCTCCAGATGTGAGAATTCAGTAATAAAGAACAATGAGTTGTGATAATTATCAAGGTGGAGTAAGTTCAAATGAAGGAAGGGAAGTCAAGTTTGGAATAAGGAAGGCTGTTTATTAGAACAGATAGTGCATATAGATAGTAAAGTGTTAATAAAACTAATAACTATATCCTTCATTGTATGATTTTTTTTCTTTTTTTCATCCGATGCCTGCCACATAGTCCTAATTTAAAGTTAGAGTTAGCGTGTTATAGACTGTCTGAGTAGAATAGAATCGTGGTTATAAAAGGGCGTTCCATAGGTTCAGAATGTGAGGACGTGAAAACAAACTGATTCTAAAAGAAAACGATCACTAGACTAATTTGGAATTAGATAGTAAATGGTTACAGTGTTTATTCATATCTGAAGCAAGACTAACTATGAAGTGACTGCCAAAATATTTGTTTGCAATTTACTTGCTTTTCACAAAAGCAGGAATGTCTTGTAAAATGAGAATTTCATTCATCTCTGTTCTGTGTGAGTAGATGACTGTCAGTCACATAAACACACAATTAGCAAGCGGTATTCATTATTCTAACAAAGTTTCATATCACGCCCACTACATAATAGAGAATACCATATTATTTGAATAATTAAGTATAATGAGGTGTTAGATAACGAGATAGTTAACCTTTGAAACTTTTACAAACAACTGAGGTCATCAGAAATATTCCGATGTTTTTCACTATTATTTCAGTGTGTTTTTCAAAAGAATATTTCTTGTGAGACAACGCATATCAGATAAGTAGAATTGAAGTAGATGCGATGACTATGTGCAATATTCAACTAAGTAAACTTGACTGAATCGTCAAGTGACAGTCCCTAACCCGAATAGATTTAGGAGGACGTTAGAAATACATGATGCGTTCAAGCCAAGTAAAGACTGCTCATCGAGAGTATTGTGTTCCTGTCGACCGATGTTATCTTCTAAAGCCGTCCAACCATATCTTTTACTTACCAAACATATTGTGGTGTCAAATGAAGTAGAGAAGTGAAACATGAATGCCTGCTTGATCAAAGTAGAGAAGACAAAATACAAATAGATAAACCAACAAGCCATCAATGATAATCATTATGGAACTGAAATCATGTTTCGCTGTATCTTTGAATATCACTAATTGTCAATAAAACTAATGAAGATGTTTCATGAAGAAACTTATCTTCTTGACGATATGGATTCCTGAATTTGCACGATTGTACTTCCAGGTTATGTTTTTGCATGTATTAGTGTGTGATATAAGAGATGGATGTTGCAGAATTATCGTAGATGATCAGACTTATTTATGCGGGGGGCAATCGAGAGGAAATTGTGTTGCGCATATAAATAGTCGAGATAATCAAGAACCTTCAAGTATTTGAAGCAATAATTTGCAAATGGAAGGGTGTTATTTCATGTTAATCCAAGTCTTCGATATTCGTTCATCAGGTACAGCTACAAACGGCTGCACGAGAGTAAGAAAACTTGTGGATCTATATTGAGGTGTCCAGGGGTAGCAGATGATCCTTAAGACTTCGCTGAATGACTTTCTTGATAGATAAAACAGCTTGGAGCTGTGTATTAGAAAAGACTTTTTTCAAGTATTTGTACGTTTGTTCTTTGGTGTCTTAGCTGCCCTGTCACCCCTGAATTCAGTATTCAAGAACAGAACTTTCTTTGCAAAGGTGGGAGATATTCTGACTAGACATCCCGGTTTCAGATTGCTTCCAATGCACATGGGTTGGCGAAAATATTTCAGAAGCGCTTTCCGGATTATATTCGGTTCATCATCAATTTTGTCCGGGATAGGAGGGCCAGATCATCTGCGAAGTCTAGGTCGTCCAACTGCATCCTAGATGTACACTGTATCCCGCGTTTCCCTTCAGATGTTGACGTCTTCGTGATCCAGTCGATCATCAGGAGAAAGAGAAAGGGTGAGAGCAAGCAATCTTGCTTAACACCGGTATTTACCTCGAAAAAGTCTGTGAGCTGTCCTCCATTCATAATTTTGCATTTTAATACATCATATACAACATCCGTACGCAGTCCTCCATCCTGTTTAACAATACCCTGTTGAAGACGTTTCCTGTAGTTATCACAGTTGCTGAGATCGCCTTTCTTTGGTATCGTAATCAGATGTTCTTCTTTCCAGTCTGTTGGTACTTGTTACTCATCGTAAATCTTATTGAAGAGAATGTGGAGTATCTTTGCAGTTACCGCTACGTCTGCTTTCAGTACCTCTGCTAAAATTTTGTCTGGTCTTGCTGCTTTGCCACTCTTGGTATGCCTGACGGCCATGCTGATTTCTTCAATTGTTGGTGGGCCAACATTGATTGGGAGGTCCGTGGGTGCTGCTTCGATGTTGGGTGGGTTCAGTGGAGCTGGTCGATTCAAGAGTTCCTTGAAGTGTTCTACTCACCTGTTTCGTTGTTAATCAATGTTGGTGATTACCTTGCCATCCTTGCTTTTCACTGGTCGTTCTGGTTTACGGTGATTTCCAGCGAGTTTCTTTGTCGTGTCATACAGTTGTCTCATGTTTCCTTATCTTGCATCCTTTTCCGCCATCATTGCTAAATCTCCCACGTTTTCGCGTTTGTCGGTTCTGATGCTCCTCTTCACTGCGTGCCGCAAGTGTTTGATGGCACAGTAGGCTGCTAGTTGTTCGCGACAAAAAGCCCTGTATCTCGTCTCCATGGGATTGGGGTGTTGTGAGAAAAATTAGTGAGGTTGCCAACTGCCGGAGATGTTCTGTTGCATAACAGCTCCTATAGCAAAATCGGATGCATCAACCGCTATACTAAGCGTGGCTGATGGGTCAGGGTGAGCGAGGAGTGTAACTTCAGTCAGAGCCGTTTTGATCTCTGAAAATTCAATACGTGCGACTTCTTGCAATTCTAATTTGCGTGGATTAACGCAAAATAAATCGGTTAATGGTCGTAACCGTTCTGCCACGTGTGGGATATAACGTCGGTAGAAATAAACTAGACCGAGAAATGCCTCGTACTATGCTATCGATAAAGTTTGAGCAGCATTTCGTAATATAAATGACATTCGTAGGAACTCAAACAAACCGAAAGTAGTCGTGATAGCAGTTTTTTCGATATCTTAAAGAGCGACTGGGATCTGATGATATGCTCGTACCAGATGGATCTTAGAAGAGATAGTCGTGAGCGGTGACTTGATGTCGTGAATGTGGGAAATGGTGTGGCTATCAAAACGTGTAACTACGTTTAATGCTCGGTAGTCGCCGCATGTTCTCCAACTAACCCCATCCTTCTTGCGCACCTTGTAAAGAGGAGGGGCCCAGGGACTGTGAGCAGAACAACTAATACCAGTAGCTAGTAAATTGTCAAACTCACATTTAGCGAAAGCCAACTTGTCCGGTGCCAGTTGGCGTAGTCTTGCCGTGACTGGGAGTCTGCGGGTGACTATTTGATGTACCACACTACTGGTCACCGATAAAATCTCCTCGAGTGGTTTAGTTAATTCAGGGGAATTTCCAGACTAAAGCGTTGAACATGTCGTCACGCGAATAAAATACGCCTAACATTCGGTACGCGTTTGTTTAACCTTTGAATTTACTGTTCGACGGAGTATCAATTAACTGTAGCCTACGTGAATCGACCATCAATTCATAATGCTGTGGGAAATCAATACGGAGTATGGCTGTGAGAACATCGACAATGATGAACGTCCACGGACTCTGTCGTCGGTTCCCCAGGTTAACCGTGTGTTGTCGTGTACCATAGGTAGGAATGGCTGAGCCATTCGCAGCGCGTAGTCGAAGCATTGTAGCTCGTGACTTACTGTTACCAGTAGGTATGACAGAAACTTGGGCACCTGTATCTACTGAGTACCTAGCGTTCGAGCAATAAGCGTGAACTTAAAATAAACGGCCAGCCTGTGATAAATGGCCGGCGAGTACGGCTGCATTTACTCGCCGGCTCGGGAGTTTCCCGCCTAGTATAATCACAGGGCTCGACAAATGCTTGCACCGGACCCAAAGGAGCAGTGAAACCAGCACCAACCCACCTCGCTTCCGAAGCGGCCTTTTGGCGTGGCGTGGTCACCTGGTTGAGTGGTGCATCCTCGAGAAGGGCCGTGATCGTTAGTTGGATGGGTGCTGGTAACGATTTGAGCCACAATTCCTTCACGATTTCAGAATCAGCTGCTGTAGATCCTGCGAGAGATTGCAGGCGCGTGACATGGTGTCTCGGCTTAGCATCACCCAGAGGGTGAAGCGCTAATAATCTCCATAACCGTTCCTCTCTCGGTGGGAGGGAATGTCCGAGGATCGCCTCCCTGAGACGGTCACAAACGTTAGGCATTTTGGGGTTGAGGACGACTTCACGGACAGCGACTATGTGATCCCCTGGTAAAGATTCCAGAGCGTAGGCATATTTTTGCCATTGGCTCGTAATGCGGCGGGTCTTGAGCTGAGACTCCAGTGCGGCAAACCAAACTTCCGGATCGTGTAGGATAAAAGATATAGGTCAAAAATGAACAACCTTTACATCAGAGTCTATTATATTAATACTATTCTTATCGTTATCCGTCATCTCAAGTTGTTGCTAGAATATTATATATTGAAAAATATCAATATGAAAATGTGCAACAGACGTGGATAGATAAGTATTAGACTCACCTCAATTGGCTGCTTTGGAAGATTTGACCGCGACTGGAAAGTGTTCGTAGTTTTGGGTTCACCAGTTGTAGCGTGGCGTCGAGTCACGTTTGACTATGATCACCAGTACGAGAAGATTGCGTAACAGGATAGGCTAAACCTCCGAGTAAACCAGTAATCAGAAGGCGATTGAAGGTTGTAGAGAGATATATTTGTTGGCTATCTCGTGGTATCGAAAGAATACCGAGATCGTGCCGAAGGAGTACAAGTGGAACTACTGAGCAAACGTAAGTTCCTGCAAGGTCACAATCAACGGAGGGAAGAATGTCTTTAGTACAGTTAAACAAACAAGTACAGTAAAACAATCACTGGTACATTTGGTTATAATAATGATTGTTTTCATTAAACCAATCGTGTTCTCTTGATAAAAGTAGGTCACTACAGATCTAAGTACAGCAATTAAACAAGATATAGGATGCTGTCCAGCTGGTTGGATGTACAGAACTACTTTACGTTTACCCGGTGAGCTTTGTGAATCAGGTTAGTTTTCTGATGGATGGTATCAACTACATACAGCAACTGAAGAAGCACATGAATGACTCAAAACTAACGCTCCTCAGACCACAACAATGCCGAGTGTTCGTGCCTCAACGGCTACACAACAGCACGCATGTGTTCATCAGAAACGACTGTGTGCATCTGCCATGGCAATGGAATTATGATCGTGATTACGAGAACCGATAAAACAGTGACGGTTCAAAAGCCTAGAATGACTGATGTGGCTGGCATTGATTGAGCGAAATTAGCTTCGACAAGTACAGACAACTCGAAATCAGTCACACCAAAGAAACTCGAGTTTCAAGAATCAACGTCGCTAGTTCACTGGTCATGGATATATTTAGACATTTCATTTGGTGAATTCCTACACTGATACTCAATGTCCGGTGAGTTTATATTATTTTACACTTATTACTTTCATTTATGTTGATATTGTATGAGTAAAATTGCGATGCTTTTTATATGCTAGTGGCATGTTTAGTGGTTGAACTGATTATAAACAGAATAACGCATCCACCTATTCTAAGTTGATTGTAATACATATTGTTCTCCTCCATGTCCTCCTGATATTCAACAAGTAGACAATTGTCTTTCACATCACTCCACCGTTTGACATTTACATACTTGCTACTCTTTGACTACTGTGTAACCCTATTCCACGCTTGATATTATTACCCACATTTGGCATTCTTGTTTATTAATCCATCATTCCCATCTGTGCTCAAGCACGCACCCTTTATCTTTATCTTTCAGATAAAAATGTCTCTTTAATTTTTTGAAAACCTTCTTTAAAAAAATTTACTTACAACAATATGCTGAACAAGTTCCTGAAAAATATTACCGTTTACAACTTCAGGCTCTTCGCTGCTCTCAAGGAACATCACATTACCAACGTTCTTTCACCTTTTTTGTTAAGATATGTGAAAGAGTTAATAGAAAAAAAACTGGTAAAATTAAAGCAGCGAAATAAATGAAATGTAACTGCTAGTAAACCTTTACTTTCGTAGCTTGTTATGCGCACTATTAGTGTCATTCTAATGAATGAAAATTATAAGATATGACGTTGAGAATATAAGATATTGAAAACAGTCAAATTCATCAAAAGCGCTCACTTACCTAACCTTCTAGCGGATCGCGTGCCGTCAACATTTTTCTATCCATGTTTAGCAATTAAAATGACGGAATCAATTTGTCGGATGTAAGCTTGTTTAACTCAATGTCCGACTCTTGTAAATTCGCCAGACGGTGACACTCGATTACACTTAAAATAAGCGCGTTTATTGATGTTCTTCAAAGACCATCTGCTACTTCGTTTTCGTGGCCCTTACAATATCGTATATTAGACGTGACCTAGGAAATAAGTTTTAACTCTCGGTCAATCTTCGGAAAGACAGTGTGGCCTTTCATATTGTTGATGAAATAGTGAATGTAATGTATAGGATATCTGTCGGTTAATATAAGGATATGAATTGGTGACAAAGTGCGGATTACAGCAAAATCCAATTAGAAAATAAGCCTTTTCTAAAATTCTCTACATAGCCCCACATGTGCTGTCCGGATATAACACTGGTATGCTAAAAAAGTAGAAGACAAGAAGCACACATTCATATAGACAAGCACTTGTAGTGACGTTGGGTCCTTCCCACACAATCCTCAAAGCTGAACAGGAGAAAACTGGGAAAATAGATATTCAACATTTAATACGGATAAAAACCCAACGATGGAAAGGCGTGAAGATCGAATTTAATTTATTCGAATTGATCGGATGGCATGGCTCGACCTTGCAGGTGTGGTCATTGTTTAATTTTGTTATATATCTTTTATTCATATTAAGTATACTGTTCTATCTCTAGCCTAAGTGTGTCCTTCATTATATTGATGATTGTTAGGATGCAATGAGTTGATACAGATAATAATGTGACTCCCACGTAAAATCTTATAGATTAGGCAGTTGCATCATGACAAATCTTCAATTTTGGGATTAATTCTATTTATAAAGCGGTAATAACGAAGTAGACCACAATTCCACACACTCACCGAACATGACAGTAGAGTTCATTAGTGCTCGGTTATTACAAAGTAGAACGACTAACATACTTATCCCGCTCTGTTTGAACAATCCTCCACTTATTCCACTTATTCACAAACTGTTAGTTTTTATTTAGGACTTCTGAAGTGAAACTACTGAAAAGCTTGACGTTGACATATTAAATATATAGTCATTTAGTGTAGAGCATGTGATATTATAAACAATAACGATTCGAATGTGGAAGGAAAAGCATAATTGCATTGGCGTTTTGAGACATTGTGAGACATTTTACGAAGATAATGAAATAATGTAAATGCTGAACGTAAACGTTACTTACTTGCTTACTTTACTTAAGCCCGTTACTCCCAATGGAGCATAGACCGCCGACCAGCATTCTCTAACCGACTCTAGCCTAGTCCTTTTTTTCTAGTTCCATCCAATTCCGGTTCATCTTTCTCATGTCTGTCTCCATTTCGCGAAGTAATGTGTTCTTCGGCCTTGAGAATTCCAAGTGATGATGGCTTGCCTTGGGTGCTTTTCTCAATGTGTGTCCTATCCACTCCCAGAGCTTCTTCCTGACTTCTTCCTCCACTGGGATCTGGTTTGTTCTGTCCCACAGTGGGTTGTTGTTGATGGTTTCTGACCAACGAATCCGTAGTATTTTGCATAGACGACTGTTAATAAACACTTGTAGGTTTTGGATAATGGCTTTCGTAGTTCTCCAGGTTTCCGCTCCATACAGTAGAACCGTCTTCATATTTGTATTGAAAATTCTGACCCTCGTGTTGGTTGACTCGTTTCAATTTGTTTCCATATGGATAAAGTCGTAGTGAGACATTTTGCTGTACATCATCAGTTATAAAACTGTCGTCACCATGTGAGACTGAGTTTTGGTGTGACATATATGAAGAGTAACTTTTGGAGATGCAGATGTTTGCCTGAGTAGGTGAAAAGATATAAACGTTTCACATATGGTTTTAACACATTAACTGATATAGACTGTGTTTTGAACGGAATGATTTTAAGATGCCTATACAATAATGGAATATCAAGTTTTTATTGAATATCTTGCTTATGCACACCGTTGATCATCCTGTTAACAAAACGCTTCTTACTTGTCGACCGTTGATGTCTATTCACCTTATCAGAAGTAGTGATCATGATTTCACATCACCAAGGTTGAATGTTTCGAAATGCTGGGTGGGGCCAAACATATCACAGCCACATTTCCAACACTTGATTAAACGTGTATATGAAACATGTTTTTTCAGATGTTGAATATTTACTTACAAGTAATTTCTTATATTTGACTTTCTTGGAATGATGTAGGAGTGTATCCTTTCCATGTTTTTCATACACTTGAAGTAAAACACAGATTATACAGTAATCCCAGCTCGACTATGGAGCAAGTTTACGAGTCACACCTCTAATCTATGGCTTGGTGGATCCTGACGGTTAATATTAAAGTCATGTAGTTGTACTAAGCAAAAGTCCCATTCATCATGTAACCAAGACTTTTAAATTGACATCCCGGTCTACTACACCCATTGTTTTCTTCAGCTCAGAAATTTTATTTTATAGACTGCGAGCTCTTGTGTAGCCCGCCTTTATTTCTGTAAGGAACTTTCCCTTAGCACTCAGAGTGGTTTAAGAATCGTTTCGCTCCAAAAGTTTGCAATCTGAAAACCCTTAAGTTTGAGCTTTTTTCACCATTTATACTACTCTCGTTTATTTCTACTTCTGCCAATCATCTTTCATTATGGTCAACCAGGCTAAGATTCTCACAGATGTATATTCTGGATCCAGTCAGTATGCCTGAGTTTTCCTGGATTTGGTATCTTTCTTCAGACGAAGCAAGGTCACTTTTAAGAAGGGGCTTTTCTGAGTATTTTCAGAATCCAACTTCTTTCCTATTCAATAAAGCTTACAGATGCTAACCTCTGAAGTTGTTTCTGGGAGTTCCTTGCACATTAGTGATTTAATGAGGCTGAGGTCGTGCTTAAACCTAGCTTTTGGTTGCTTATCGGAAGATTCTCATGAATAAGAAAAAATGATTGACCTGTCAGTGAAGAGGTGACTTCAATATGCCCGAAATCTCTTGGCTGCCAGTCAAAGCGCCGAAACGTTATGAATGATTTATTGAATGTCTAGAGCTTGGACAATGGACTCAGTATGTCGATGGCCCTACCAGACATCAAAACATCTTAGACTTAGTCTTTACCAGTGGCCTCATCCCCAATACTTTGTATATTGGAAAAAAGTTCCCAGGTAGTGATCATAACATTGTCATATGCAGCCTCAATGTAAAAACCACAACCGATAGAACTAAAACCGTAACACTTCGTAGAAACTATCGCAAGGTTGATTGGAATAACTTCCACAATTACCTAAGAAGCACTGATTGGAGAACTTTCTTTACCTCAAACAATACCGACACATTAACCAATATATTTTATCACAACATCAAAAGTATCATCAACAACATCGCACCTTTAGAATACTGTAAACCTACGTTCTCCAAAGATCTCTATATACCGGTCAGTACAAGAAGACGTCTTCAAAGACATTGTACTCGATTCCACAACTTAAATGACTTTTCCTCTTTAGTAACGATGACAGAAATACTTGTCCGAACAGAGGCAATAAGTAAACAAAAAGCAGTAGCACAGGAAAAACGTGCAGTTGAACTTAATAATAACTCCTCTGCACTCACCAGACTACTCCAAAATAAACTTAAACGCTCTAAATCGAGAGGGAGTATATTCATTAAAGGCAAACAAGTATACGAAGATCCCAAACTTATCACAGAATTATTCAGTGAACATTTTTGTTTCTCACTAACTAACGAAAAACCATTTATTGATTCAGAACCAATCCCAGTAACTCCCTGTGAAATTACTAATGTAGAATTCAGTGTACAAAATATCTCCAAGGCAATCAGTACATTGAAACACTCCTACACTGATGGACCAGATGGTATTCCATCTAGCATGCTAAAACGTGGAGGTGATGATATGTGTGTTTTGCTTCTCAAAATATTCGCGATATCACTCTCTTCAGCGTGTTACCCTACTGCCTGGAAAACTACACATATCATTCCCAAAATTAAAACAGGACCTGAAGCAAACGTTGAAAATTACCGGCCTATAAACATAACTTCAGTGGTATCCAGAGTAATGGAAAAAGTAGTTAAGGCGGCTGTAGTCCAACATCTATTAACTAACAATCTCTTGTCGACCTCCCAGCATGGATTTCTTAGGTCCAGATCATGCGATACATGCCTAGTAGACTACCTGAATGATATAACTCTGAAACGAGACAGCGGACTCCTTGTATCAGTCCTATTCCTAGACTTTAAGAAAGCCTTTGATAAGGTCCCACACAAAAGGCTACTCGTCAAACTAAAGTCCTTCGGAATACACAACCCACTGTACTCATGGTTTGCTTCGTTCTTAACAGAACGTAAACAGATGGTAAAGTACAATGACTGTCTCTCGTCCCCTAGACCAATCACCAGTGGAGTCATCCAGGGAAGCGTATTAGGGCCACTTTTGTTTCTTATGTATATAAACGATATATGTAACACCATAGAATTTGGGAAACCGTACTTATATGCTGATGATCTCAAAATAGTATACAGCTATAAGCCTGAGACACTAAGCGAAAGTGTATCCCAGATCCAAAAGGACCTCAATAACTTAACTATCTGGAGTGAAAAATGGCAGTTACCATTTAACCTCAACAAGTGCGGGATCATGCACTTTGGAAAGCATCCCTATAAACCGTGACTTCACTTAAATGAATGTAGAGTCCAAACACTCGAATCAGTACACGATTTAGGAATTAACTACACAGGAAGCCTGAACTTTGAAGAACATGCCTCCTCTATTATTTCTAAATCTAGACGGCTAATTGGTTTTATAATGAAAAACTTTTTCACAACAGAGGGTAAACTTACTCTCTACAAAATATGTGTACGACCCTCCCTTGAATACTGCTCTTTTGTCTTCTCTAATATGAATATCGCAGACAAGATAAGAGTAGAAGATGTTCAAAGACGTTTCACACGTCAACTACTAGGTTGTAACTCGAATATCGATTACACAGACAGATGTAAGCATCTATCTTTAGAACCTTTATGGCACCGTAGGCTAAAAAACAATTTAATATTTCTCTACAAAGCGATATATGGGCTCTCCTTTCTAACCTCCTGCCCGACTATCACCCACGACCCAGCCTATAGACTTAGAAACAACGCATATACACTACTTACCGTAAAACACCAAAAACAAATGCGTTGTAAGTTCTTTACAGTACGGTACAGTTTATTGTGGAACAGGCTGCCAATGCCTATCCGTAACTGTGATACGTTTACCAGATTCAAAAAGCTAATAACCCTATTTCTAGACTCCAAACAGCTTCAACATTTCCTTGAACTCCCGCCCACCAATGAGGCACTTTATTACGGACCGCCTAGTATCTAGAAAGAACAAAATTATAACAAGTTCGACTGTTACTAATCTGAATATAACCAAATCACAGGATATATGGCTTATCCTTTCCTACTATTCATTGTTTATTAATCATGACTTCATGCTCCTAACCCTAGCTTTCAGTCCCCAAATCTCTACAGGTTAAATGTACATTATTCTTCCTAAAAGTCATGCTTTTATTTCTACTGCAAGTAGACAGATAGCTCAATCTTATGGATGCTGATCTACTAAGGCCGGTCATTCAAAGCTCAAAATTTGGCCACAAAGTCTTGTGAGTTTCTCAATATTTTATTTTTCTCACCCTGAAATCTTTTTCTTTTTTTTTCTACAATTTTATACCCTCTCATATCTTTTGATTTACTATTAATCCTTACTTATTTAAACCATTAGTTATTTTAATAGCAGTGTGATATACTATATGGACATCTAACCCATAAAACAGAATTTTTAAATATCTGATTTGCTTGTAACATGGACCTAGTAGAGACAGTGTATTCCAACCATGGGCTTTGATTAAAGCATTAATCATACTTACCACAAACGTAAGAGAGCCTAACATCACAAAAGGAGGGAGGGTGGCGTTACTGACCAGCAAACATGAAGGTGGGGAGATAACTTCAATCCACCCATGTCTGTAGGGCAGAACATTTTGTTTAGTTACGGCTCCTTATGGTTTAGTGGGATGTCACGGACTTATGGTATTGAAGCTGATTTATCACGCAAAATACCTCTTTAAATCGTATTACGAACGTTGAATTGGTTTCACTCCCTACTCAGGAATCCTATTACAAGCAAACTAGACAATTCGCTAATATACGAAGCCTACTCAAGACCCTATAAAACCTGAAAAAAACAAAAAAAACGAGAGGGGCTCTAATAGCTTCGATAATAAAAGGAAGATAGCCAGTTGTATATCACAATACTGTTTCTAGCACTATATTTTATTTTATAATCACACATAATCTTATACTCTCAGCTCTTTTCCGAATCGCCTCCATTTGTCAGTTGTATGTCCACTCACACCTTGCTAAAGCTTATTTTCTTTAACCTATTAAAATGCTCTTTCTTAACAAATACCTTAATAGAAGAAAATTAGACTGAGTAATCATACCTTAAACATTCCTACATGAATATTGGCTACTCTGCCTCTCGTGTTTTCTTTTACTTGCTCCCTCTTTCAGCCCCCTTGAGATATGGAACAGGTTACTTCATCCTGCACCATCCTTAAAGCCTTGGATATCCCAAAGGGACATAAGGTTGCGATTTCTATAAGCTCATACCTTCAATGGACTTATTCTTGACCATCAGTCGCACATTCGCAACGCAACTCCCATGGAGCGCGCCAACTGTAGTACTGATTAAAACAATCTACATTCATGTCTTATAAATTTTCAACCCAGCTATGTAATTAAATACAGTGTATATTGTATCATTTGTATCAATTTGATCTTGCCTGTAAACTGGCATGCCTCATGTAACAAACTGTTATTTGAGAATAAATTATTATTATTATTATTATTATTATTATTATTATTATTATTAAGTCAGTCTCAATGCGCTGTGGAATTTAAGTTCTTGGAATATCCTCCCTGCTGTCCGTTTCGGGGTCAAACACAGAGGTTTTACTCTGTTTGCTTACTTTTCTTTTTATGGGTGTGACTGTAAGCCACTCATTCACCTTATAACTTGTTTCTTCTCGATGGGCTTTTCTTATTTCTTGTAGCGATGCATGCATTTGTATGCCTGTTATCCGTTTCTCTAATAGGGTCAACCTTGACGGTGTCATTCAAATCCAAGGCTGGGCTCACAATAACGCTCACTGTTTGTTCAAAAATTGAATTCTGCCAGTTTCTTGCCGCCTGTTTATCTGAGTGTGATTTTCTAACCACCCTCAGCAGCTCAATCGTTTCATGAATTAATAGAGACTTTGTAGAACATCATGCTTTGCACAGTCAACATGATATTGTCTTACAGCATATTCTATGTGCAATCAATGTGAGTCCAGTGCACACACTATGACTAAACGTATGGTTGTTGTCACAACGCATACAATCATCCACAGGGAAATAGCATGCAGATCTGCCACGATTTTGTTTTACTTGCACCATAAAACTGTTTGGGATCTCACAGAAAGAACAACAGCAAAAACTGATCCCTAGAATAAATGTCCTTTAAGGCTTGATAGGTGATAGATACTGAACAAAAACAAAAAAATATGTTTGTATATTACTTTAACTGACGACAATGGAAAATTCGACTTGAGTAGATACAAAAACACCTTAAAACCTTTGGATACAAACAATACTTAAAGATGTATTCGATGAGGGAGAAAACACCAGTACACCATTTATTATTTGCACTCAAGAAGCACATGTGATAAATTACTTAAGAAAGAAAGCGATGCTTTTGGAGACTACTTTAGCTAAAATAAATCCAATCAAAGCGAAGACGATAGTCTTGATGCGTAATTAAACGATCGATACTATGAAATGTACTCAAAAGAAAAATACCACTGTCCCTTTTAAATAGCGCTCATTGTTTCGAAGGTTTTACAGGAATATATCCTTTGCAAGGATGGTTGAGCATTATCTGAATTGTGACAATCCCTAGTTCACTATTTACTTTATGGATCCAGAGTCCAGATCGGCAGCGGCAATATTTAGACTTGAATGTCAAATTCATTTGAAACGTAGCATGCGTAAGTGACTGACGTCATCTTCTTTGTTTAGAATGTGGTAATGAGTTGAAAGGCACATGCTCTTCGGAGGTACGTTGATCACCGTCTTCATCTACATCCTGTAGGCGAGCATTTAATTCCGATGCGCTGCACTGTATAAGATGGTTTTACTTCACCACAACGGATAGCGATTGTAAATATTTCACTAATGAATGAACCCACTTGGGGACCTAGGATTGACCACAACTATTGGTTAGAGATTTGGAATAACGACAGGCCGTCGTAGTTCAGTTGCGGTTTCGGTTTGCTGAAACTGACTTGGCTTAGCCAATATTCTGAAATCCTCTGCAAACCGGTTTTCAGTCCAATGTAGTAGTATACTCCTGCCTCTGGAAACGTTGGTTTCACACTATGGTAACGACTTAGTACACATTGACGGACATGGAGGGATCTGAATTATACATCCAAAAAAGTCCAGAATTCAGTTCGCCTTCTTCCCAGTTATGTCACCTCTTTCATAATCTCAATTACAACTCTGTCTAGCTGTTGCTTCATTGAAAGATGAACAGATGTAGACATTTTCGCAGTTGCACCACCTACACCTTGTTGATAAAGAAACGTAAACTGTACCGTTTGCTGTACTCAATGCACACTGGACGCAGTTACATGAAGGAGCGGCTGATTGTGGGTCAGTACGTCTACGTCGCTCTGTAGCTACGGCGATGCCTACTCCTACACCAACTGGACTGTAGTTTTCATAGTCAGTAGTCGTTAAGTGATACCTTTTCTCAAACTCAGATCTTAGCTTCATCAACTCTCTTTTAGAGGTTGATCTAGGGCAGCCCATCAAGTTTGACGCTCTACTACCTGTAACCCGTCCTTCATCTCTTTCATTACGTTCTACATTATTAGTCTAAAAGAAACAATTAACCGTAGTCAGGTTGAACAGAAGCATTGATTGAAGTTGTGGACAGTAGAAACAATACATATGGATGGCGTGAGATCTTTGAGAAAGTGGGGTGTAGTCGACGCTCCGTTGTCTCGTGTCAGTTTGATAAACTAAAACAAAACCTGAACTTCGGTTATGTAATGCTGACTGAATTTCATAATAATATTAAGATTGATATTTATTAATTTTCATTTCATCTAACGGTTTAGAAAATCCACTGGTTATTAACTGACTGTTCGGAAGACTATGCAACCCGGACTCCGAGGAAGGCCATTGGACTTTGAGGATTTCCCCAAAATAGGAAAATTTATTGAGTTCGCATCCAAACGTGCAAATATCTGACAAAAAGATATGTTGGACTCGTGTCATACTTAGTTTTTTATATATATTAACGTGACATACTTAATGTGATTATACTGTGCGAAGAATCATCAATCACAGAATCCCTATGACAGTGAATATACCACGGGTATTCAGAGTTTTACAACGCTTTAACCAGTAACACTGTAGCGTGTTGTCGTATCCCAGTTGACTATGAACACTGCTACTGAGAAATACGTGCCAATAAAATCAGAAGGCGGAATAGAACCAAGTTTATTTAATTGGCGATCTCGTGGTATCGAATGAATATAAAGATCGTGCCAAGAAATGGTACAAGCAGAAGCAGCAGAAGGGAGTACGTGCGAGCAGAGTCACAAACTACGAAACAACAATGGAAGTACACAATATGTCTGTCATTAGCACAGTTAAACAACAGCGCATTAAAACAAGCACTGGTACAATTGGTTATAATAATAATTGTTTTCAATAAACCAATAGCGTTCTTGTGATAAAAGTAAGTCACTACAACACCTTCCAATATTAATCGTATCCACCAAGTGAAATCAAAAGACAGGAGCGATGAAGTTCGAAGATATATTTGATAGGCTATCAATATCAAGGATCGTCTGATCTAGTCTGGTTAGCAGTTGCAGGGGTTGTTGAGCACGACGTTCCCGCTCGTGATCTGGTACGGATGCATGACCGAGCGCCTTCAGCTAGATGAGTCCACTAAAACATGTGGTCAGCATCCCATGTCGAAAACTTACAGAGCTATTTATTTTGGAAATTTATTTACCGCTACAGATCACTCCCCCCCCCTAGTTGGGTAGTGATGACCCTAAGATGTGGCCAGCCAGAAAATTAAACCCAACGAGTATGTCGTTGGTAAACACTCTTCTGATAGCTTGCTAGGTTTAGCAGCGTCTGGTCGTCTCTCCTTACTATATAGGACCATGAAGCACAGTAAAGTAAAAAAAAGAGAAAGTACAATTAAAATTTCGGCTCCTCGTAAACTTCATCGTTCTTTTCCAGCCGTCCTGGAAAAGAAAAAATAAATGTAAGTGGATGTCGAAATACACTCGTACTTCCTAAAAACAATGCCGGCGAAGAAAATGGAAAATAAACTCATATACACATAATATCGTTAAAAAAAGGGTTTTTACATTATTTTTTGTTCGTTTTTTTAAATATAAATATATAAGCATATTAAAATTGATTTTTTTAAAAATATACTGTATATCGTAAAAAGAAAGATCGAGATAATATTAAATGTCGAGAGGTGCCTTACGTGCAATAGTCGTTTAAATGTTCTGGAAATCTAACTGCTCTTCTAGAACGCGTCGTTTTAAGTTTATTTCCAGATACATTCGGAGTATCCTCGCGTGTGTTGGTTGTCGATTGAGGAATTATGAGTGGAGTCTTATCGTTCAATTGTACCGAAGGAAAATCGACGTAGATAGGATTTCCTTCTTAATACGCTGCTTTGAGGCGATCGATGCTGATGCTATCGTTGGTTCCGTTCTTATCGATTATACAGTGCTTAGATTCACGTTGAAGAACTTTGAAAGGTCCTTCGTATACTGATTCGAATGGTCGTCGATGCAAGTCTCGACGAACGAAAACGTGTGTACTATATCATAAGTCAGGTTGAACGAAAACATCAGTTGATTGAGGTCGAGTGGAAGCAGGTTTAATTGAACGCATTGCGTTTGTAAGCCTGTTCGTGTAGGAGGTTAGTTCCATGTTCATTGAAGATGAAGGATCCACGAATTCTCCTGGAATTCGAAGTGTCGTTCCGTAAACGATTTGAGCCGCAGTTTATCCAATGTCAGCTTTCACTGCATTGCGGATACCTAGTAAGACGAGTGGAAGAGCAGCTTACACAGGGGCGTGCCCACTCCCTCACGTTTTTATTCATACCAGGTCAGCAAAACCGTTGTGCTATAAGCTTGATGATTGCACGAACACCTGGATGAGAAAGTTTGTGCAATGTGTTGAAGACGTTGAGTCGATAATGTTTCGGCACGATTTGGCGATCTGTACCTGTAGATTTGTCACACAGTAAGGTTTCCTTACCTGTTCCTATCTGTTTGATGCGTAGTTTAAGGGTTGTAGACGATAACTCGTGCTGAAGATCAGTGTCTTCTTTTTGAAGCTTGGCGAGTTTCAGAAGGTCGATTCCTTGGAAACTGTTCAAGGAAGTTATGCGAGGTAAGGCGTCTGCAACTACATTATTTGCTCCAGAGATGTGTTGAATATCCGAGGTAAACTGCAAAATGTAGTCCAGTTGTCGAGGCTCACGGGGAGAGTACTTGTCAGAAGGAGAGCTTAACGAGAAAGTGAGCGGTTTATGGTC